CAACCCATCACCCCCCCCACTGCTGCTGCTGCTGCTGCTGCTGCTGCTGCTGCTGCTGCTGCTGCTGCTGCTGAGGCCCAGCGAGGAACAGAGAGCCCTAAACCCTCCCTTTATACGCTGCGTTAGAGAAGGGTTTACAGCTACTAAGCGGCAAACCACTAAACCCTCGCCGCCCCCCCAAACCCTAAACCCTAAACCCTTCGTCTCTGCTGTACTCGGTGGTAGTACAGCTCGCAGTGCTGCTGTTTCTCCCTCTGATGCTGTTGTTTCTGCTGCTGCTGCAGCAGCAGCAGCAGCAGCAGCAGCAGCGGGATCTGTTGCGTTCTCTTTCCTTGTCTTTCTCCCAAGGAGAAAGGAGAACGGCCCATCTCCCCTTTCTCTTTCTTTTTCTTTTTCTGTTTCTCTTTCTGTTTCTTCTTTTCTTCTCCTTACTCTTTCTCTCCCCCCCTCTTCTGCTGCAACTATATCTAAATAATATATCTGCTGGCAGCAGCGCGAACCAAAGAAAACCAAACCACTACCTTTGTGAGCAGCAGCAAAGGAGAGGGGCCCCCCAACCCCTGCAGGTTTCTCTCCGCTGCCTATCTCTGTTAGCTCAAACGGCAGGGAAGAGGGGGCCCCCCAGGGGCCCCCCATAGTACCCCCCGCTTGGGGGCCCTGGGGGCCCCCCATCTGCTGCGGTAGGAAAGGAGGGGGGGGGGCCCCTGAACTGCGTTGTGCTGGTGAGAGAGCAAAGAGACGAAGAGAAGAAGTTGTGGCGATGAGGAGACAAGGAAGAGGAGCAGCAGAAATATCTGAATACGGTGGGGTGTCTGTACACCCGGATGAGCTGAGGTGTACAGTGACATTATTATAATTATAATTATAATTATAATTATTATAATTATAATTATTATTTTGTATTTGATTTGTGGGGTCATATAAAGAGAAAGCATATCTTATAGGCGGCGGCAGCAGCGCCCTGTTGAGGTGTACGTACACCGCAGACTCTATACAAGAATATAAACATATACACCCCAAGCAATCCTCAGCAGAGCCAAACTGCCACAAATATAAATTATTTCCGTTCGCTACCCACAGTAAATTCAAATCTGATATAAGGCCGTGAGGAGGCAGAGAAACACAGCAGCAACCCTTGCTGCTCCTCCTGCTGCTGCTGCTGCTGCTGCTGTTCCCGTTGCTGCTGCTGCTGCTGCTGCTGTCTACAGCGCCACAGCGACACAGAAGACGAGAGATAAAAGGAGGCAGCGGGATAGACTCGCTGATGCTGCTGAGGGTAAATGCATTTCTATTCTCTTCATATACAGCCTTAAAAAGGGGGGCCCCCATCCTAAACCCCCAGGGGGCCCCCAAGAAGGGGGCCCTCCCCGGGCTGTCTATCTGTACGTTCTGCTCTTCTGCTGCTATACCACTCCACAGCAACCGTGCTGCTGCTGCAGCAAACTGAGACGAGGGGCCCTCGATGCACAGCCCCTGGCCTTTCTCAGCTGTAGATACACCTGAAACCCCATCCGCACTTGTATCCACTGCCATCATAGAAAATCGGCGAGGGGGCCCCTTGGGGCCCCCCCCCATGTAATATGAAGACCCTAAAACGGATCTACGCTGCTGCTGCTCCTGTTGCTGCTGTTGCTGCTGCTGTTGCTGTTGCTGCTGCTGCTGCTGGTAATAGTTGCTATAGTGTTGCTGCTGCAGCGTCTGAGGAAAGAAACCCAACGAAGACTGTGTTACTGAACCGCTGCGGCCGCCGCTGTGGGCGCCGAGGGGCCCCCCGTCACCAGGGAGTGAGGGGGGGGGCCCCAAGGTAGAAAGACCGAGGGTAGGGGGGCCCCCCAGGGTGGGGGGCCCCCCCGCCATGTTGAAGAAGTCTGTGCCTGCAGGGGACGCGAAGGTGCTCATGATGTCGTGTTGAGGGGCCCCTGGGGGCCCCAAACATGCAGCAGAGAAGCAACGCCTCCTCCTGTGTTTCTCCCTCAGACAGCTAGACCTCAGCCCGAGTACTGGGGGCCCCACGCAGCTGCTCACAGCCGCCTACCTGCATGCAGGCCAGCAGAATAGAGGAGAAAGAAAGCCGCATGCAGAGCAGAGAAAGGAGGAGCCCCAGGCACCCCGGGGCTGGGAACAAAGGGGGGGGGGGGGGNGGGGGGGGGGGGGGGGTTGAGGTGTATATACAGCTCAGGAGCTGTACACATACACGGCACGCCTTGAAACTGTCGTTATAAAGAAATGATAAACATTATGAATTAATAAATTTTCAAAACGGAAAGCAAAAGAAATAAAAATTTAACTTCGATTTGCTCCTTTTGGGGCTGTGCTGGCATTCGGCGGCGCAGGGGGCTGCATGCGACAACAGAGTATAACTGCGTATTGTTTTTTTTGTTGTTTTTATTTATTTAATTAAAAATATTATTGTTTATTGTTTAAATAAAGAAAACAAAGAATTTAGATAGAAAAGACAAATGATATGTATAGGTAAGCAGGGGCCCACCGCCGCCTCTATCCCTTGCGGTGTATGGATGAGGTGCCTGTACACCTGAAATCTCGTTTGTTATTTATTATAAACTGAAATATTTGAACTTTAATAATAAAGGAAAATGAAGAAAAGCAGTTTGCCTCTCCTCGTTTCCTTTTTATTTAATTGTTTCTGTTGCTGCTGCATTTACAATCACCCAAGCTAGACGAAAGCTGTTGGCTTTCGCTTCTGTTCATCTGCTGCCGCTGCTGCTGCTGCTGCTGCTGCTGCTGCTGCTGCTGCTGCTGCAGTTAACTCGCTGCAGCAGCAGCAGCATTTTGCTGTTGCTGCAGCAGATGCAGGTTGAGTCCTTGTTGTATAGTTGCGTTAATTTCACACCAGGGAACTTTATTGTATACAATCGAAGATATACTTATTTCTCTTTTTATATTTATATTTATATTTACTTTTTTATTTGTGTGTGTGTCTGTATGTTCATCTGCATTTGTATTTGCCTTTGTACGGAAACTTCTACATTTCAAGGCAATTCCATTAGCTTATGCTTACCCATTTGAGTATATTTATTTAAAAATTAATTTATTTATTTTATTTTATTTTATTTATTTATTTATTTATTTATTTTTTTATTTATAAGTTTCTATCATATATCAATATCAGCAACATCGCCGAATACGGCTTTCAGGCAGTCCTTGGTGAGCTCATCGATTGTCTCGTCTTTGACCCGCCAGAAGGAGACGCTCTTCTCTAGCAGCCTCATATTATAGCGGTGGTTGTCTCCGCTGCTGCTGCTGCTGCTGCTGCTGTTGCTGCTGCTGCTGCTGCTTGGCTCGCCTACGCCGTGGCGCTGCAGGATCGGGCGCTGCACCTCAGGGAGATATTTGCGGCAGCGGATGACAAGACGACGATAGTCGAAGTCAGCTAAGCTTCGTAGTTCTTTCAGCTCAGACACAACAGGCTCGGACTGTACATACACCCCAACACACACAGAATATTTGTTCTCTATATTGCTTCGTATAAGCACACAACAGATACAAAAAGTAAACAAACAGAGAAAAAGCCATACGAGACGATGAAAGCCGAACGCACAAACGCGCTGTTGTAAAGGATAATACAGCATCGACTTAAACAGGGCATAGAATCAAGCATTTAGGGTTTAGGGTTTAGGGTTTAGGGTTTGGGGTTTAGCGGCAGAGCTTATTTTCTGAGATAACATATTACAAAAAGAAGAAAGTGAAGGTGTTTGTATCGTAATCCATAAAAAAAGAATCAATTCAACTTGCAGTGTATGCATCGAGGAGGTCCAGCAGAACGCTTCGGGTCTTCTCTAGGCTCAGTGGCGGCTTCTCCTCCTTTTTCTGTTCTCTCCTTGTGCTCTTATCGTTGCAAACAACACAAAAACAATAAATAAATGCATTAGTAACATAAAACACACACAAAAAAGTATGTATTCAAGCGGGGATATATTTTTTTTTGTGTGTTATCTGTACACTGATTGGGGTGTACAGACACCGAACGACTGTGGGCCGCTATAAGCTTGAATTGGGTTATTATTGTTTATAATGTGTTTATTTATGTTTGAAATTTACAACAGAACAAGAAACACGTTTATATTACATGCAGATGTGGTGTATTGAGTGCTGGGGTGTATGTACAGTTTCTGCTTCAGGTGTGGTCGCCAGGTCACTGATTGCGTCGTCATTTGAATATATTTTGTAGTTTTCTGTGAAAGTATGTTGCGCAGCTTTGCTGGGTGGCAGCCTGAACTCTGTGTGTTCTTCTTCTGCATGCATCGGCGTCATTTGGCTTTTGTATTCAACTTCTGATTCATCTGTATCATCAGCTGCTGGTTGTTGAGGATCTCGGGTGTATGTACACCTGCCCCTGGAGAACAAGCAGTCGTTGATGCCTCTATTAAGAGTTCTTTTTGCTTCTATTTCATTTTTATTTAAAATACTGCGAAGCTCTTGCAGCCCCAGCCGCGCCGCATGCACTCCTTCGTTAGTTGAATATGGGCTCTTAAGAATAAACATAAAGTCATCTTTAGCACATTTCGTCATACCCAGCAACATATACGCTCTCCCCCGCCGGTACCGGGCCTTGGTGTCGTGCTCGTCGAGCTCTTGTATAACGGTTGTGCATGCACCTGCAGCGGTGCAGCAGCAGAAATACACACATTCTTTTGTTTCTTTCTCTCCTCATCATGTATACTCTGCTGTTTTGTTGTTCTCGATAAACACACAAACGAAAAGGTTTCACTGTGCTTAGGCAATTGGATGCAGCAAATCCCCCAGAAGAAGCAGCAGCAGCAGCAGCAGCAGCAGCAGCAACAGCAAATAGAAATGCTGATGAGATAGAAACGTAGGCAGCAACACGAAATTCCACCAGCAGCAACAGCAGCAATAGAAAATCCGGCAGCAACAGAATAAACACCAGCAACAGCAGAGAAAGCAATAGAAAGCAAACCCTCGACAGCTGCAGCAGAAAGCATAATGCAGCAGCAACAGCAGAAACAGCAGCAACAGCAGCAGCAGCAACAGCATAATAATCATCACCATAAAGTGCATACGAATTGCTTCTTGATATTTTCCGAGTTGAATTGCTGCCTGTGCAGCATTTTTAAGAAAGAGAGAAAAGATGTGTTCTACTCGTGTTTGTTGCTGTTTGTCTTTTGCTTCGACCCAATTCATCAACTCTATGCCTTGCTTGAAACGCATAAACGCCAGCTCGCTGTTCTTTGCGGTGTACGCCTCCCGGCCCTCCCGCAGCAGCCGATCACCGAAAGATAGATGCTCCTCCAGGGCTGCTCCCTCTAGCGGCCGCTTTCCCTTTGATATACCTGAGCACCAACAGCAACAGCAGCACCAGCAGCAGCAGCAGCAGCAGCAGCAGCAGCAGCAGCAGCAGATGCTTAGAGGAATAGTCATAGCAGATGAAGGAAGCTGCAGCAGAAACTGCAGCAGCAGCAGCAGCAGCAACTCTATGCTGCTGCAGATGCGGCCACACAGCAAACACAAATGCAGAGACAGAAACAGAAAAAGATGAAAACAAACGGCAGCAACAATTCTGCATGCTTATGCTGCTTTTCTTTTTCCTTTCTGTTAGCAACCGCAGCAACAGCATCAGCAACAGAACCACAAGCACCGACAACAACAACAGCAGCAGCAGCAGCAGCAGCAGCAGCAGCAAGAGCAGCAGTGGTGTACCTGGTATCCATTCTTCTCTTGGGCATATCTCTCCCTTTGACATTCTTTCTGCGAGTTCTTCTTGAGGCAAATCCGTCCACTTGCGAGTTTTTAAATACTGCATTTCTGCTGCATCGAGCGGCCGTGTTGCTTCCTCCTGCAGCTCTTTGAATTGCTGTTCTTGGCTGATGACTGTGCGCAGCACAGCCCGCAATATGAATATTTCATGTTCATATTCATGTCGAAATATATAAAATAAAAAGAATAAGATGTTTACATCGTTAAAATAAAAAAATATGCAATTTGTGCAGAAAAAAGCAAAAAAATTATTTGAATTTTTCAAGGGAACAGAAATATTCAAGTTGCAAAAAAAGCAAAAAATATTCAACTTTTCAAAAATAATATATTGAATTCTGAAAATAAATGTTCAACACAACAGAAATATTCAACTTGTTAATTGTGTTAATAGTGAAAGAAATATTCAACGAGAGAAGCTTTCAAGGTGTTTGCATCAACTATTTCGTTTCTTTTTTTTTTTTNTTTTTTTTTTTTACCTTTTTTTGTTAGTTTAAGGAGGATCAGTGGCTATGTTTTAGTGGCATTTGTAGCAGAAAACGCGCAGAAAAGAAGAAAAGGAAGAACGAAACGGCTTACAAGTTTGGGGGTTTCGTTTGAATTCGTCTGCTTTCTCTTGAATCAGAGCAGAGAGGGCCTGATCCTTATCGATTCTTTCGCTGAATAAATTTATGTTTCCCTCGCATTGCAGTAAACATTCGTGTAAACGCTCTAAAAGTCCAGGGGTTTTCATAATAGGCCGAAGAAGATTCTGCTTTTCAGGTGAACAGCCAGCTATGGCGCGCTCCAACTCGGCGACTTTTGCAGCTTTCTGTGCAGCCATGCAGCTGGCCTGATCAGCGAAGAACATGCAACAAAAAGAACGTAAAAAACCATGAATTGCGGCTCAATAAATATCAATAATGTTAGTAATGTTTAGAATAATAATAATTTCGGTTTTTTACGGAGAGATATGCACAAAAAAGGGGAGGATTTCACCGTTTCCTTCTGCAGATGTTTCTGCTCCTCTCGCAGCAGAAGCTGCTCCTTCGGACGACGAAGGAACTCCTGCCAATAGGCCTCGCATTCGTGCATTGCCATTTTCAAATAATTCTTTAGAAATTAATGAATAAATATTTTAGGATTTAACGGATCGTCTTTCTTTTTCTTGTTTATTTGCGGGCTTCCTCCTCCATGTACGGCCGCAGGCAGCAGTCGGCCGCGCTCCCCACTGCTTCACCTCTTTCAGTTGCAAATGCAGCACTTCAGACCCCGGAAACTCTCATTATCCTTTTAAAACATATAATATTAAAAAGAATTTTCAGAAAAAAGAGAGCTCGGCCCCTGCACACCGCAGCAGGTCGGCAGCGGCTGCTGTGTTTGAGAGGGGTGATCATGCGGCATTGTTGCCGCGTGATCAGGCTGCCGTCTCATGCTTGAAATCNCTGTGTTTGAGAGGGGTGATCATGCGGCATTGTTGCCGCGTGATCAGGCTGCCGTCTCATGCTTGAAATCGGGGTAAAACTGAGCTTATTAAAACATAAAAATAATATTTCAATTAATAAATTAATTATTTTGTGGTAAATTCCAGCAGAAATATTTTTTTATGTTCTTTTGATTCTCTGCTCGGATCGACGAGCAGCAGCTGAACGAACCCGCCATAGCAGAAGCCGAGATGCCGCAGCTGCTTTCTGTGTTGCGCAATTTATAAATTAAAAAATTCGAAATAAATTGAAATAAATAAATAAATAAATAAAACAAATCAAACAAAGGACTGAAAAACGTGAAACGGATAATATGAAAATCACACAAAACAAACAACACGAATAAACGAAAGCAAACAGAGCAAATGCCTGAAATACATGAAAGCGATACATTAAATAAACAAATTGAATAATTAAAACAAACAAAACAAAAAACTAAAACAAACAAGATAAATAGAACCTTCATTAATTAAAACAAACAAAACAAAAAACGAAAACAAACAAAATAAAGAAAACCTTCATTGGTATTTATTCTTTAAGGGTAACCACCGCGTCCTCCTTTTGTTGAATGCATAAATTCTTTTTGCTGGTAAACAAAATAAATAAATAAAACACCTTCATTTCCACCCCGTTTATATTATAATTATAATTATAATAATTATAATAATAATAATTATCATTGTTTTTGTTGTTGTTTTTGTTGTTGCCGTTGCTGTGTTTATCATTACTTTTGTCTTTCTTATGGCTATACTGGGTTTTACTTCTTCTTAAACAGCTTCCTCTTGCCTACACATCTCTTCTACGACACCCGGGGGCCCCCTTGGGCCCTCTGGGGCCCCCGGGGCCCCCGTGGGCCCCTGGGGGCCCCTGGGGGCCCCTAGGGGCCCCTGAACTCCGCAGCAGCAGTTTTATATTAGCTGTGTTTTCGTTTAGCTTGACTAATGCAGTTTAAGGGTTTAGGTGTATCTGTAGGCAAGAAGATAACCCCTAAACCCTAGACCCCAAACCCTAAACCCTATAAAATATAAATATATATTATATATACTAATATTTACATTACTATAAAAAATATATTATATATATGTTGTTTGTGTTTTTGTGCATTTACACTGCAGTGACAAAAACAAATAAAAGGGGAGGCAGCATCTGCTGATTCAGAAATCAAGATCAGCGAGAAGTGCATAGACACTCGGTTTCTGCTTCTGTTGCTGCTGCTGCTGCTGCTGCTGCTGCTGCTGCTCCGTATTGTTGTTGTTGCTGCTGCTGCTGCTGCTGGCAGCAGCACCCAGCAGCATCGGGTTCGTCTCGTCCCCTGAAGAGGGAGGCCGGTCCTTGGGCCCCCCGTGCAGAACCCCAGAAGGCTGCAGAGTCAAACTGCTGCTGCTGCTGCTGCTGCTGCTGTTGCTGTTGCTGTTGCTGCTGTTGCAGCTGCTGCTCTTGCTACAAGGGGCAGCAGATGCAGCAGCAGCAGCAGCACCAGATGCAGCAGCAGAATTCAGTTTTAAAGGATCAGCAGCAAAACCCCGAGGTCCGTCAGCTTGGGCCGAAGGGGCAGACAACACAGGCGGCGTCCGTTGCTGCTGCTGCTGCTGCTGCTGCTGCTGCTGCCCCTCCTCCTGTTGTTTTTGCTGCTGTTGCTGCTGCGCTGGCGGCTGACGCTGCTCGGGCTGATGCTCCGGTTGCGGTTGCTGCTGCTGCTGCTGCTGCTGCTGCTGCAGTTGATGTTGCTGCTGCTCCTCTTCCTGTTTCTTTTGCTGCTGCTGCAGCTGTGGTGGCTGATGCTGCCCCAGTTGCTGCTCCGGCCGCTGCTGCTGTTGCTGCTGGTGTTGCTGCTGCTGCTCCCTCTGTTGCCCCTGTTGTTGTTGTTGCTGCTGTGGCTGCTGCTGCTGTAGCTGCTGCTGCTGTAGCTGCTGCTGCTGTAGCTGCTGCTGCTGTAGCTGCTGCTGCTGTGGTTGCTTTTCCTGCTGCTGTTGCAGCTGCTGCTGCTGTGGCTGCCGCTGCTGCTGCTGCTGCTCTTGCTGCTGCTGGTTGTCGTGCTCATGGGTCTGCTGCTGCTGCGAGCTGTGCAGCTGTTGCGGTGGCAGCAGCAGATGCTGTTGCTGCTGTGGCTGCTGCTGCTTGCACTGGTCCTCCGTTGGATGAGACTGCTGCTGCTGCTGCTGCAGCTGCTGTTGCTGCAGCTGCTGTTGCTGTTGCTGCTGCTGCTGCAGCTGCTGTTGCTGTTGCTGCTGCTGCTGCAGCTGCTGTTGCTGTTGCTGCTGCTGCTGCTGCTGCTGCTGCTGCTGCTGCTGCTGCTGCTGCTGTTCATAAACATACCGCGCCTGCGCTTGTTTGTGCTGCCTCTTCTGTCTGTTGAAGGCAGAGCCCCTTGCAGGTGCTTCCGCCTCCAGCAGCAGCAGCTGCTGCAGTTGCTGCTGCTGCTGCTGCTGCAGTTGCTGCTGCGGCATCAGCAGCAGCTGTTGCTGCTGCTGCTGCTGCTGCTGCTGCCGGCTGCGTCTCCTGCGCCTCAAAGGGCCGATCACACTCCGCTGCTGATGCCCACACAGGCGGCAAACAGAAACCTAAACAAAAATAAAAAAATAAATAAAATAAATAAAATAAATAAAATAAATAAAACAAGTGAAATAATAAAATAGAATAGGCAAAGATAGAGTAAAATAAAATAAATAAAATAAGAAAATAAAATAAAATAAACAAACAATAACAGCAACAACAACAAAACAAAACCAAAACAAAAGCAAGAAAGAAACAAATATATTTAAATTTATAAAAAAATAA